TGCGGGAACCTTCCAGCATCCCCCCAAAACCCCCTGAAGACCCCCCCAGGAACCCCAAAACACCCCTGGGACCCCCCCAGGAACCCCAAAACCTCCCTGGGACCTCCCCAGACCCCTTGGGGACCCCCCCAGACTCACGGCGGGGCGGAAGCGGGGCGGGGGGGTCCTGTCCTTGCGAGCCTCACGCGAGCGGTTCCGCACCACCTTGCTGTGGATGGCGCAGCTGACGCAGTAATGCAGCTTCACGTAGAGCTTGGGCAGCACGTAGGCTGGGGGAAAACGGGGGTCAGGGACCCCAAAAACACACCCGGGGACCCCAAAAACACACCCGGGACAGTAATGCAGCTTCATGCACAGCTTGGGCAGCACGTAGGCTGGGGGAAACGGGGGTCAAGGACCCCAGAAACAACCCCATAAACCCCAAAAACCCCCCCTGGAACCCCAAAAACACCCCCAGGGACCCCAAAAACACACACAGAAACCCCCAAAACCCCCAGGGCAGTAATGCAGCTTCACGTAGAGCTTGGGCAGCACATAGGCTGGGGGAAACGGGGGTCAGGGACCCCCAAAACAACCCCAGAAACCCCAAAAACACCCCCTGGTACCCCAAAAACACACCCGGGGACCCCAAAAACACCCCCAGGGACCCCAAAAACACCCCCTGGGACCCCAAAAACCCCAAAAACAACCCCAGAAACCCCAAAAACACCCCCAGAGACCCCAAAAACCCCCAAGGCTATTTTGGGGGTGACAAGGTGAGCAGGATCAGATCTTTCGGGGGTCAAAAGTGGCTATTTTGGGGTCAAAAGAGGCTATTTTGGGGAAATAACTGGGCTATTTTGGGGTCAAAAGTGGCTATTTTGGGGTTTAACAGGGCTATTTTGGGGGTACAACGGGGCTATTTTGGGGGTACAACGGGGCGATTTTGGGGGTAAACAGGGCGATTTTGGGGGTACAACGGGGCTATTTTGGGGGTACAACAGGGCTATTTTGGGGGTATAACGGGGCTACTTTGAAAGGCACAGAGCCCGTTTTTAGGGGAAAGCCGAGGCGGGATATTTGGGGCGACAAACGGACCCTGTGGGGGCTGACACCGAGCACGAAGAGGGGGTTTTGGGGGTCGGGGTTTTGGGGAACACCCCACTCGAGGCTCACAATCGAACACGCTGGCCTCGGAGATGTCCCTGACGGCGGCGGCCTCCACGATGTTCCTGATGACGAATTTCTTGATGGCCTTGTCCTTGGGCACGCAGCGGGCGCAGTTGGTGCAGCGGATGGGCTGCACGTGCCCGCGGCCCTTCTTGGCTCGCCCGTTGTTCCTCCTCTTCTTCGTCTGAGCAGGGAGAGGAGGGGGGGTCAGCAATGGAGACGCCCCTCAGCTCCTCCCCCCTCCCCAAAAAAAACCCCTGGAGAAGCCTCAGATCATTCCCTTTAAAGCTGCTTCTAACCCACATAAAAACCCCTGGATCATCCCCCTTAAAACCATCCCCAGTCCCCCCAAAAAAATCCCAGAGACCCCCCCCAGATCATTCCCTTTAAAGCCATCCCCAGCCCCATAAAAAAACCCTGGAGAAGCCTCAGATCATCCCCTTTAAAGCTGCTTCTAACCCCAAAAAAAACCCCTGGAGAAGGAGAACCCCTGGATCATCCCCTTTAAAGCTGCCCCCAGCCCCAAAAAAACCCCAGAGACCCCCCAGATCATTCCCTTTAAAGCTGCTCCCAGCCCTATAAAAATAACCCTGGAGACCCCCCTGGATCATCCCCTTTAAAGCCATCCCCAGCCCCATAAAAAATCCCTGGAGAACCCTCAGATCATCCCCTTTAAAGCTGCTTCTAACCCTAAAAAAATCCCTGGAGAACCCCAGGTTCATCCCCCTTAAAGCTGCTTCTAATCCCAAAAAAAATGCCCCTGGAAAACCCCTGGACCATCCCCCTTAAAGCTGCTTCTAACCCTAAAAAAATCCCTGGAGACCCCCAGGTTCATCCCCCTTAAAGCTGCTTCTAATCCCAAAAAAAAAAACCCTGGAAAACCCCTGGATCATCCCCCTTAAAGCTGCTTCTAACCCCAAAAAAACCCCAGAGACCCCCCTCAGGTTCATCCCCCTTAAAGCTGCTCCAAACCCAATAAAAACCCTGGAGATCTCCCCTTTAAAGCCGCCCCCAGCCCCCCAAAAAACCCCAGAGACCCCCGGGATCCCCCATTCAGAGCTGCCCCCAGCCCCATAAAAACCCCTGGACTCCCAAGGGTCCCATCCAC